GCAGAATACTGATGCATATGTCGACATCTGTGTTCAAAGTGCCATTTCAAATAAGTCATCCACAAACTAAGAGCTAAGCTTTGATGTTACTCAAAGTACTTTTAATTGGAAATTTCAGGGGTTCTAAAATGACGGATCTAGTCCTACGAAGGGCAAGTGAAAATGCATTAGGTTTAAAACTGATTGATAGTTTACTTACTGTGTGGTACCTGGCAAAGTCATGTTATTAAAAAAGTTGTATTTTAATATTTTACACCAAATAAAACCAGTATTTCCTTTAAAGGAAAAAAATGTATGATAGAGTATCACAGAACTATGTTGCCAACTAGTGTTACCAAAATTCCCCATACTATTTCAATAGAAAATTTACATTTTGAAATATGAAAGGTAGTTACTTAAATTTTGCTTGAACAGATGCAGAATGGTAAGTTCTTGATGTGAGATTGACTGTACATGTTAAAAAGCCATCCCACACTTGATGCAAATTTCACCAATGCTGATGTCCAGCTGCAGTTCTAATTTACTTCCTTTCTTGGGTTGCTCTAAAAATAATTGCCACTTACTTTTCAATATTCTTTCATGCAATAAGAACATGACAGCTATCAGAGATCTGAACAGATTATGAGTCATTTCATCACTAGAAATCTTACTTTGGACTATTTTACATTCCAGTTACTGTTTATCAGTTTAACAACTTAGTTTTTTAATTCTTTCAACATATCTATAACCATGCACTTGGTATAATTTTTGGACCTTGAAAGACAATGGATGTGATCAAATTTGGGCCACAGTCCAGACAAAGACTGTCTTCTATTGATTCAGTTTCTTTTCTATTGTTCTGTACTTCACTGTCTAACTGGGTCCTAACAAAAGTACAAACATTTGGAAAAGTGTGATTTCCCCTAGGGAAGTTAGGCCAGTCTGACCCCTTCAAGTTATACCGATCAAAGTGATGTGCTGATTTTCAGAAATGCGCACATATGCATGCTTTCAAAGTGTTTGTTCTGGAACTGATAACCAGCAGAGTCAATAATTCTCAGGAATTCCTCTGACTTTAAGATAGAGTCTACATGTACTTGCTATTTTTATTCAGTGTTTATCATTGTCACATGCTGCTATTTCACACACTTTCATCTACAATGGCCAGATAAATACCATCTGGTTATGTTAAAGCCTTCAGGCAGAATAATAAAGATGTAGATGTGTACATAATGCTCTTTCAGGTGCAAGAATGACAACAGTTCCCATGTCCCACAAGACCTGCCCCTTAATACCAGGCAAAGCTGGATGTGAACACTTAGGACATTCATTCAGAAGGGGGAAAACCAGGTTCTCATTCTTTCTGCCCAAGCTTATTTCTACTTTTTACTTAATGACAGTGTAGTAAAACAATATCAACAAATCCAGCACAAGAGTTTCTCCTCCTCCTTTTCCATTCTAAATAGTTCTTCCAGAATTCAGTACCTGAGATGCACTTCAGCTGTGCCACAGTGCCCATGTGATTATTTGCATCTTGTTCTAATGACCACAAATAAATACTGTCTAGCAGCATGGTCCTCCCTAAGCAGGATCATCATGTTCTGTCATTAAGGATCTGGACAAACCAGCTTCAGTAGTGAGACAGGAGAAATCTGTGGGAAATCGCTGTTCTTTGGAAAGGCTGCCATGTGCAGGAGAAGCTTCCACTGGAAATGTACCGAGATCCAAACTTGTCGGAATGAAAAGGAACGAATAACGAATAAATGGCAGGAAAAAAATTGCATCCGTTGGTCACAACTGGACGTGAAGCAACAGCGGAAAGAAATATCCCTGTCTAAAGCTAATCTAATCTTAGTCCCTGTCGAAGACTAATCAAATTCGATGTCTTCTAAACCAAACAACTCACAGCTGGAAAGTGCCAACAAAACATTAAAATGCATAAATAGTGACAAGAAGTTCAACACATTTGAAAGGATGTACCATAATAATTTGCCTGCTCTAAAAAGGTACTATGTTATCAGGTGTACCTGGCATTCACTGTTCTTCTCAAAGCACTAATGCAGAAAGGATGAGGAATGTCTGTTTTCCAGTTGCTAGTATACGATGTTTTGTTTTAATCCTGTCGAGCAAGTCAACATTATGATATTTAAGCTTGCTGGACTGGAAAAAAATCCAATTTTGCTAAGAAAGGCCGTTTACAGTAAGAGTTCCATATTTACAAAATCTAAAATGCAATTCATTTTTTCTTCAGAATTTTTTCTTCCCATTTGCAGTTTACTAACACAATTTCTCAGATAAAGTGTGGTAGTGCTACTCACAGTCGCTAAAATGTTCCTTTTAACCTGCTCTGTTCACTACTGGACACGGCAGTCAAGAGCTGACCGTATCCCTGAGTAAGTATGGGGTTTTCCAGAAGTGGCACAGGCTCTCCTGAGGAATTGCGATTTATAGAACTGAAAGTAAAATGCATTTCAAGAAACACATTCTATCTGTGTGGAGTTCAGATTTCATTCACATGGGAAATGTCATACTATGGGAAATACAGTCCTCAAGTAAAGTTGTGTTTATCAGAAGTTTGTTTTCCATGCAATAAATTTCAATCAGAGTTGCTAGATTGAAAAAGACATGTCAACCTTATCTTTTAAAAATTACCAGGATTGCACTGCCATTTTATTCCGATGAGAATGAAAAACAAAATTCTCATTCAGCACTGACATAAATATGAAATGTTCATGTGAAACGCACACATAAAAGTGACATAACTCAGTACTGTAAAACAGCAATAATGCTAAAAAAAATTCAAATGCATAACAATGTGTAATTCAATTCTTGTTATATTATATTCCTGAACAGACCAATTGTTGGACTTCTGCATAACAAATGGTGAAATTATCCTGACCTCTTAGAACAGAAATTGTTTTTCTTCCACTTTGTGTCTGGAGGGCCTAAAAGAATGACAACTATGTTCCACACTGTAATTTATATAAAGTGTCTTTAGTCTACATAATTTGTATTATATGGATTACATGTGACTGCCACAATAGCGTGGAATGCCCTGGATGGATATTTCATTTATCTACTCTGTAATGGGTAACAACTGCTTGGCTGCACTTGGTTCTGTGTTACTGTCTTTATTTTTACCCAAGGCTGACACAGTAATTACCCCAGTCCTAACAGTAAGGGGGGCTGAAAGATACGCCCAATTGTCTGCTGTGGGGTCTCCAAAAGGCTGGATGTAGAGTAGCCACCCCAAACCATCTGATTACCACTTGACATGGAACAAAAGAAACAGCCAAAAGGGAAATTCAGTTTGTTGGATCCCTTTCCATAATTATATCATGCTTCATGCAAACCAGAAGGTTCAATAGGTGAAGAGGTCTTGTAAGGAATTTGAACATTTGCCATCTTATCATTAGGTAATGACATTTTAATAGTTTAATTAACCATCAGGCAGTGAGAAGTCCAGCATGAGAATGGCTGAAACTGCCTAATAATTAAGTCATGAAACAAGATATGCTGCAGGGAAGGGGAAACAACCCTATTTGTTTTGAAGGGGTCTTGAAAAGGGTTGGGTGACAGAACAAGAGGGAGGCTGCCAGTCCTCAAGGGACTCTATAAGAGGGTCATAAGGTATTAAAAAAAAAAATCAAAACTTTAAATCATAAAATCAAGTTCAAAATAATTTTTTTTTTATAAAATTATAAATAAAAAACCATAAAAAGCATTTTGGATATTTAACCACAAAAATGCCTGTTGGGAACAAAACGTACATAAAATAAAACCATCCTAAGACTTTACAGTACAACACAAGCGTTAATACAGAGTGTTAACGATTTTGCTGTTCACCTATCCAGAAGAATTTTAAACAGGGTAAAAATGTAAAAATTAGACAATTCCAGAACTTCTAAGCAACTAGCTCCTGCAAGGAGTTGATGAGAGTTTCACACCACCTCAAGGTCTTACACCCAATAATGAAGTGACATGCAGACAGCCATACTACGAAGTATTTTTGGCAGCAGAAGAAACAAGTCCCAGTGCCACAGTGACATTGGTCCAGCCAAGGAGCAGAGAGTTAGGTAGGAAGTTCTCTGCAGGTCCCTCAGCCAATACTGATCCCTCGCCCAAATTTTGAACAGCTCTGTGGAACTACTGTGGCTTTTTTCTCCCCTTGGTATCAGCAGTGCAAAAGACTCAGAAGTACCTCTTTAAGCCAACTAGCAACAGACAGTTGTGCACAGATATGGCTGAGTAACACATCAACTACAACTGGAAAGAAAGATGATGTCTGGCCCTCCATTGATGGTACAGGTAAATGAATTACTTTTAATAATAATAAAAACCCCAAATTCACATCAAAGCACAATCAAAAACCAGCAAACCCTGAAGCTCTCTGTCCCAGAGTTCTCCCCAGCAGAAACCTCAGAACTTATTTTTTGGTTAGATTACTCAAGGAACATACAACAAATTTAGCCCATTCTCTTCAAGTGTTGTAGGTAGTTTAAAATATTACAGCAAGTAAACCCCACTTGCATAAAATGCTGTTATGTGTTTGTAAGGTTACTATGTGTAGCAATTTTTAAAATTGCCAGTAAAATACTATTACTACACGTTTTCCCTTTATAATACACACATCAGCAATTACATCACATGTATACATATGTAGCACAGCAGAGGGAACGAGAGCATTTATCATGAAGCCAAATCCCAGTGTTAGAAGAAAAGTGAAGGTAAATGGCACCTGCTGCCTATGGCCCCAAGTTCATTTTAACTCCAAAGAGCCCTTGTATGCAGAATTTGACTACAGAAGTATTCTCTGTACGGAAAACAGAAGGCAGGAATGTCACAGGTACATACTGTAAAGCCTAGTCACTGATGAACAATGCCCTGCCAACGTGTGGTAAGATGGTTGAAGCACTGTAGAGAGCTTTCAGAAGCACTTCAGAGCATTACAAAGCACTTGAAGTTGATTCTGTATATTAACAAGTATATAGCTGTAGCATGTCTAATATACATCAACTCACCTGTCATAGATGGTGCCAGCTTTCTCTGCCCTTTGTGGTCCACAGTACCTTCATAAGCTACAGTCACATCATACACTGCATCCAGATAGTCTTTCATTGTGTCAATGGCTACATGAGTTGCCTTCACGCGTGGCGTTAGCACATGCTTTAATATAGCAAGTCCTGGGGTGGGGGGGAAATAACAATAATAATTACAGTGTTTGAAAGTAAACTAGACTACTTTCACAAAAGGAACATCATGCCAAGAACTTCAGCACCCTCACTCAAAATCACAAAAGGCTTATTTTTAATCTCAATTCTCAGTTGAGAGAGAGAGTGTGCATGTGTGCACACTGCATATGCTCTACTGAGCACATCTAGAACATGAAACAGAAATCCTAAAGGATATTAATGACAAAAAGGCTGCTCAACAGAAGAGTTCTTTTTACAGCTCCTGGTCTAGAAGCAGTGATGGTTTTAATGTGGCTCATAAGCAATTACACAGCACTTCACTTTGCTGTTTATGTTTGTCCAACTGTGTCAAAAAAAAAAAAAAGACCAAGCAAATTCACTGAGAAATACTAAAAGCACAGGACATGGCCTCCTGAAATTCTGTATTTGGAACATTTGGAAGATTTGGTAGGTAAGGCATAAGCACAGATGATTTTAAGCACGTCTAATGCTCAGCTGGCATTTTACTTCCAAAGGACAAACCAATTTTGTCAACATGCTGAATCCTAATACTGCCCCGTGGTAACAAAACAGTGGTTGTCTTAAACTACACATGCTTAAACAGGATGCTAGATTTCTCCAAAGCTACCATGTTATCAGAAATTTCAATGTGTTTTGGTATTTTCTGCTATAGACTTTAGCTTTCCCTGCTTTCTCTGCACATTCTGGGACGTCCGACATGCTTACTCTGAGGGCCCTCACTTTGGGGAAGGATGGGAGAAAGCACTTAGACTCAAGACAGCTTCAGCCCACTGCAATGACTTGCTGCTACAGAAAATGGGACACTCCACTTTATCCTTGCAGTTGTTTCCCCTACTGCTCTTTCTCCTGCGTGCTTGTTCCTGCTGCTAACCTTGTATTGCTCTGGCATCCTCCTCCCACCAGCTGATTCAACTCACGACCCCAGCAGAAAACTAAGCAGGGCAGGGGAAAATACAGCACCAAGAACCAACAGCAAGGAGGAGACCTGTTTCCCTGCAAACAACCTATTACAATTGACTTGGCTACTAACAAATCCACAGTCACAGAAATCAACTGTTCTCCTTAACCATCCAGGCCAAGACAGAGATTGGTATGTCAAGGACACAAGAACGTCAGGTTTAACAGCACTCCGCAAGCCTTAACAACAGTATTTCACATCCACGTTTGCTTCAACTGACCACTTCCACCTAGAGCAGACTTAAGCACATACAAATACAGTGGGCTCGAAAGTATAAACTTTATTCTATTTCCAGAATTTTAACATACAATGACTTTCAAAACGAGAACAAATGAAAAACCCCAAACCTTTTCATGATCTGAACACAGCTCTTCCACACTTACTTGAAAGTGCTTCTAGGAAAAAAAAGCATATTATGCAAAAACTTTCACTATTTTGCTATAAGATGTGTATCTTTCTCAGAGAAGTATCAAAATAAAATTGAAAATACTCCTTTCTAGTTTTATTTTTCATTGGCTTACTCTTCAGTCCATTTTTTAAAGAAGGATCTATTGGTGCTATTGGTTCCTGATAGATGAAGTGGAAATTTTTCTAAACCAAAGTATTGTGGTATTGCTTTTAATATCTTTCTTCTTGCAAAATCAATTAAAAAAGATACTGTATTATGTCCTGATTTTGTACTGAATTTCTCTCTCTTGCTGGGCAAAGCATACTTTGATTTAATATTATGAAAATATCTACTGAGCACTGTAAAATAATGCTAGTTTCTAAATGGCTCTAACATTCTTATATTTGAAAATTTCAGTATAAATCATTATCTTGATTTCTTAATACTTGCTAATAATCTCCTTGTCTGAACACAGAGATAAAAGCTGATTTACTAGCACTACTTCTGAAGTCATTGTTCAAAGCTTTACCGGCAATAGCGATAACTGTCTATGCAAAATGTTATATGGATCATGTAAATATTTTGAAGCATAACATAGTGGTAGTGTTTTCTTAGCTTGTGAGCTGTTACATCAAACAGCTAATTATGTTATGTTTCCAAATGTTTACTCTGCAAATGAAGCGTCGAATATTCTAGTGTTGTGTCAGCAAGGGTATTAGTGTGGACATTCCACTCAACACAACTCCTGGGGATCCAAATTCCCAAACATATTCTAAACCCCACTGTCATTCCTTTCCTGCCCAACTCATCTTCCCCTTAACCAAACTATTACTGTGGGGAAGAAGAAGGGAGAACAGGCTTCAGAGAGACCTGAATCCTCTAGACAAATTAATTTAGGTATCTAAGAGTAGTTGGTGCTGAGTTTTTTGAATCCATGGCCAGTTTTGGTGATGAAGATGCTCAGTAACAATCTGTGAAGTGCAACTGTAGAACAAGTCCCTCTTACTCCACGTGCTACCAGTGAACTCTTGAAGATTTAAGTACAAAGTGAGTATGCATCTAATTAAAATCAATAAAGAAAGTCCATAATCCATTACTCAGAAACACTCCAGTGCATGACAAACATGCAGAAACAACAGGAGTTCAGCACATCCTTTAAAAGAATCTGTTTTATAAAAACATTAAGCGCGCATTCTTGCAATTACTTAATGATCTTTGCTAAAATCAACATAACAGAATTTAAACCCAAGTAGTTACAGAATAGCTACCTTGGCGAGCTGCCTGCATCCAATTCACAAAGCACACTGTGCTTAAACTGTTTTTAATGTTGTGCAATACTAAGTTAGGACTCTCTGTCAAAGTATTTGAGGTCGTGAGATTTTATTTTAAATGCCAAAGAAAATGAACAAGATGTCTAATGTAATACTCTACCTTAAAATGCTGTAGCTTTGCTCTTCTATGTTAGCTAACTTTTAAATGATAAGCTGACATAAAAATATGAAAATAATATGAAAATCTGAAGAAATACGGTCAGCAATGGTACTTCAAATATCATCTGTTTACTAGACTATAGAAAGATGCTGAATTATTTCAGAAATTCTGCAAAAAACCTGAATGAAATCAAGTAAGGTTTTAGTCTGGCAAGTACAAAGGCCCAAATCATTCAAGTCTATAGAAGAGAATTTTTATCTAAACACAAAAGAACAAGAAAGACCAAACAAAACATCATTTATCTAACCTCTCAGGATGAAGTTACATATATAGCTGAGTACAACTCTATGGAGATCTCTCTTTCTCTTCCCTTCATCTATGCCAGAAACTCAGAGAGCTGTTCAGTGCAGGCAGGCCACCTACATTTTGAGACTTGGACACCAATAGTCATATCTGTACCCCTGACGTGCACATCCCCCATATTTTTAAATGAAAAGAATTAAAAAAACAGCTTTAAATTAAGAATACCCTATGCATATTACATTAGCATTACCACATTTCATCAAGAAGTGTTATGATAACAGGAAAATTGCTTGATAATTTCAGTGAAAGTTAGGAAAATGGATGTCAAAATTAGTTTGAGGGTTTCACCCCAAAAAAACCCCTTGTTTCTTGACAATAATACAAAAACTGAAAGCAGGGTGAAAACCAATTAATTTATTTCAATACTAATTAGATCTTTCCTTCCTTAATTTTTCCTTTTTCATGTGCACAGGAGTGATATTAGACTGAAAGCTTTGCAGTTACCTGGCGTGTCCCAAGTACTCGCCCAACACTGAGTTCCCACCAGCCTTCTGGAATTCCCCCAGTGATTGAAGCCTTACTTATTGAAACTAGAGTAAGACTTATAAAAATCACATATGGTGGGAGACCTCATCTGTTTGTATACTAGTATTCCATCGACTTACATAAATAGGACTCAACTGATGATAGTATTAAAAATTTGCATGCTCTTGTAAAAAGTGTTTTCTGCTACCATGGACTAAAGTACAAGAAATGCAAGTAGTCCCCTCAAGAAGACTATGACTATCCCATAGCAAAACACAGGAGACACAGCACTTTCGCACATTTTCTTCTGTGATGGATATCTACAGAAAAACAAGGCAGCTTCTTGCTTTCCTAAATTTCATTTCCTAAAGATGACTTTTAAGAAGAGAAATTCTTTCTTCATCCTAATGGTATATCTCTCAAATACTACTCAAGGTCCACACCCCACTCTTTTTTAAAAAAAATTATAATCTCCTTTCCACATCTCACTGTGCACTTTTAAATCAAGCTTGCTTACATGAAAGCGTGTGGAAAATGTATCACCAAAAGCTGTTTTCTTTAGAGACAGTTCCAAATAACATTTATGGATATTAAATACTTGAGATTGCTTTAAAATACAATCTAAAGCCAATGCCAAGATCTAGAAGGGAAACATTTTCGATTAGTTGAAATACCTCTTTTTTACATGACCTGTAAAAGCAATGTTGAGATAAGCATATCCTGCACATACAAACATGCAAAAAGCATGATAGTAGTCAAGATAAACTTAGCATTAAAAACATTTACATTTGCAACTTTTCTGCATAAAAACAAGGGAGATGATAAATGAATACCTGAGATGTTTGCTTGATTAAATGACCTTTGTTAGAAATCAAACATTAATACAAAATTCCATGAATGCTTTTCACCAGGGAAGATTGGCTTGCTTTTGCTGAATGAAGACAAAACAAGTTATATTTAACAAGCTTCTTACCCCTTTCTCTTTGGCTTTTCAGAGTTAGTAACATTAGGAGTAGGAGAGCTTTGGATTATATTTATTTTCAAATCTTTATAATGCCATTTCTTATCATTTGGATAAAATTCATGTTCTAATAAGCCTAAGAAATTTGTGGTTGTTTGGAACATTGTAGAGGTCTAACTCATAGAATCATAGAATGGTTTGGGTT